AAAAGAAGCACATACACACACACACACACACACACATACGCCCCCACCCTCTACCGCAAAAAAACATAAATATATCTCCGTTATACCGAGATTAGTGTGATAATCATGTATAATGTAATGTAATCAAGTGTTTTTGAATAACATTTGAATTATTTTCACTAAAATGAATGAATCTTACCGATAAGATGCATAAGAAGGTTGAAAGATCGCTGAAACATGGCTAACGATTAGTAAATGAATAAGAGTTACCGAATTAATAAATGCATTGAATAAAATTTGTAATTGTGAACAAGATATTTATTTATGAGTCATATTTTAGAGTATTACCTTGATCAATGATACAAGATTTTCATGATTGTTTAAAAGTAAGAAACTTATTTACAATAGGTCAATAACAATGAAACCTTGTCAATTTATAAAATAACAACATTGATTAAATAAACTATAATTTGATTTAGTATTCATCATCTTCCTCCTCTTCAGGGTTTGATATGGACATACCTTCTGGTACTTCTGGAATATATGCGCTAGAATCATAGGCAGATACATCAGGCATATATGGCATCATCGTTGTTGTTGTTGGTTTTTCTGTTTTTGGAGGGACATATTGCTTGGTGTATTTAACAGCAGTCGTTTTAGTTGAATATGGTCTAGTCACAGGAGCGATATATTTAGCAGTTATTGTTGGAACATAAACTGAAGTTGTAGGTTTATAAGATTCTGTTACTGTGATTGGTTTTTCTTTTCCAGTCTTTTCCTCCTTTTTCTTTTCCTCAACATGTCCATAGACACTTACTTTATCATAATCAACAGGAGCGATATATTTAACATTTGTTGGAACATATCCACGTCGTATTTTCTTTTCAACCTCTTCGGTTAATTTTTGTTCAAAAATATTGTAGAAATCAGATGTTGACTGATGAGCAATGTCGATAACGGTTACAGGGTCAAGTTGCTTAGCTAAGAAAGCAATATTATCAACTTGCCCGCACCAATGCGAACATAAGCTCGATATAAATTTGCCTGAAACAGGTTCATTGCGAATATTTAATTTAGCTGATTCCAATCGTTGTATGTTGATAATTAAGATCGACAGGAGAAACACTGTTTTTAATGAAATACACATTTTAGTATTATAACTTAAAACACAAACTGATATGAAATGGATTAAAAACTGGATTGTTGCTGATTAACAAATTAACACTTTTAACAAAAATCTATGGTTTTTATAGAAACTAGCAAACATTTTAACAAAAGCAAATCTCACTCCATACCAATCTTACATTTCATTGGATAAAACAGCTGAAATGTATTCAAAAACATCAATCATGCAGCATCAAACAAAAATTATTGTGATTGGTTGTTTTTCAAATTTTTATAACTGTGGTTATGATGGAGCCAATAGAATGCAAATTTCAATAAAAAAATTAAAAAGATAAATGCTGTATTTTCATTGGCGCTGACTTTAAAATTATTAACGGACATATTTTTTTCTCATTTCAGCTGATTGCATCCACTGGCAAATGAAAGTATAAAATGTTTGAATAGGTGTATGAGGTTTGATAATTCAGATTCTTACAAGCAAATAATTAGACTATCACCAAGAGAAGATAACGTTAATTATGATGGGAGATCAAGTGAACCTTGACCTCTTCTTCATCATCAGCAGAGGCTTATGCTGCTTTCAAAACTGGATTGAGAGGATTGTTTCCACTAATAAATCGTAATGAAGCTGAACCTTACAGAGTAAATTATCCAATCGGAAATTCTGAATCTCAATTCAATTTATTCACAATGAATCCAAAAAGAAGCACATATACACCAAGCAAACCTTTAAATCAGCTACAATCATCTACAGCTGCGACAGTAAATATATCTCCGTTATACCGAGATTAGTGTAATAATCATGTAACCAACGTTAAATTGTTGCTTTGTAGATAATTAATGCTGAATCTTTTTTTTCTTGTGCTGAACTAATGTTTAAATAAGCGATTGTTATTTATTTTGGTTACTTCACCTCAAGCCCATTTTTGTTATTTTTTAACACAAAATTTCATGCTTTTTAACGAAAATTGCCAATTTAATACTTCATGTAAAGTTAGTGTTTTTGTATAACATTTGAATTATTTTCACTAAAATGAATGAATCTTACCGATAAGATGCATAAGAAGGTTGAAAGATCGCTGAAACATGGCTAACGATTAGTAAATGAATAAATGTTACCGAATTATCAGAATGAATTGAATAAAATTTATAATTGTGAACAAGATATTTATTTATAAGTCATATTAAAAGTATATTCTTGATAAATGGAACAATATTTTTACGATCGTTTAAAAGTATGAAACTTATTTACAACAGGTCAATAACAATGAAACCTTGTCAATTTATAAAATAACAACATTGATTAATTAAACAAAAATTTGATTTAGTCATCATCCTTTTCCTCCTCTTCAGGGTTTGGATGATAACCATCAGATAAGGAACTACCTTCTGGTACGTCTGGAATATTTACACTAGAATCATAGGCATCAGGGAAAAATGGAACCATCGTTGTCGTTGTTGGTTTCTCAATCTTTGGAGGGACATATGCTGTGGTGTATTTAACAGCAGTCGTTGTCGTTGCATATGGTGTAGTCACAGGAGGAATATATTTAACAGTAGTCGTTGTAGTTGAATATGGAGTAGTAACAGGAACGATATATTTAGCAGTTGTTGTTGGAACATAAGCTGAAGTTGTAGGTTTATAAGATTCTGTCACTGTGATTGGTTTTTCTTTTCCAGTCTTTTCGTCCTTTTCCTTTTTCTTTTCGTCAATTGGCTCATAGAATCCAACTTTATCATCACCAACGACACAAATAACTGATGAAGGTGTTTCCAATTTTTTCAAGAAACTTGCAATGCTATTCACTCCATCAGCAACTTTAATAGCGCCGTTATTTTTCATACCATATCCAGCTGTCTCTGCCAGTTCACCTCCAAATCTAGTCATAGTACCAATAAGTTTAAATGTAGTACCGCCAATGTTCAGCATTTTTCCTAAGGCAATATGAGAAGCTCCAGCAAGAATACCAATAGGTTTAAGAGCGATTTGTTCAATTCCAGACGAGAAAAGTGGGGCTTGTGTCGTTTGGGGACAACAATTACTTCCGATTGACATAATTCTTTCCAAGTAAGGTTGCACATTAATAACGGATGCTTGAACAGATGTACCAAATGTAATAGGAATTGAAATAATTTGACTAATAGCACCAGTAAGAAATCCAAATCCAAGTTTACTGAATAATTTAATTGGACCAGAAATAGCTTTACCCAAGAAATCACCACTAGCTGCGAACGCCATTGGTATCAAATCAGCTCCAGAGTTTATTGCTTCAGCAGCATAGATAATAGGACCAGTGGCAGTGGAAGTATATTTAAGAATTTTAGAACTTCCTTCATTAAAAATCTTTGCAAGTTCGGCAGTTTGTTTAGCTGGATCTACATAACACTGAGGAGGTCCACACGGACTCACATGGTATTCTTTAGGTGGTACTGTCGATACAGGATAATTGGGTGTAGTGTGTTCAACTTTGACTGGCTCTTTTTTTACCGGAGGAGGTAAGGCAGTTGGAGGTGGAGGGCAAGCACAAGGTGAATATGAAAACAGGTTCATTAGAAAAGATGGCTGACAACATGGTGAAACAGGTTCATTGCGAATATGTAATTTAGCTGATTCCAATTGTTGTAGGTTGATAACTAAGATCGACAGGAGAAACACTGTTTTCAGTGAAATAGCCATATTTGTTGATATCTTCGTATTTGTATTGAAGTCGTCGATCAGGAGTCCAATACAATCTGTAAATATAAAAATAAACAATTAATATTAAAATTACACTAGTAAAGCTAATAAAGCTAGTAAAGAAAGAAAGAAAAGCTCTTAAAAGGTCTTACCTTATAAACCTATTCAATTTGATTTGAATCAAAACTAATGATACAAACATTTTTATACTTTCATTTTCCATAGGATGAAATCAGCTGAAAAATGAAAAAAGCTGCTTTTTTGATGATTTAAAAGTCACAGCCAGTGAAAATTGAACATTTATTTTTTAAATTTTTTATGGAAAATTTAGTTCTATTGGCTTCAATAACTTAAGTTGCAACCATTTGAAAAACAACGAATCACAATCATTTTTGTTTGATACTAAAAAGATTGATTTTTTTTGAATACATTTCAGCTGTTTTGTCCAATGAAATGTAAGATTGGTTTGGATGAGGCTTTTGTTTTTGTTGAGAGTTGTTGCTAATTCGTATAAAAGACATGCAGTTTTGCAAATTAGCAACAGTCAACTTCATAAGCAATTTAATATCAGTTTGTTTAATCTATAGTACCAAAATCAAATTGATAGGTTTATAAGGTAAGACCTTTCAAGAGCTTTCTTTACTCGCTTTGCTTGTGTGATTTTAATAATAATTGTTAATTTTTATATTTACAGATTGTATTGGACTCCTGATCGACGACTTCAATACAAATACGAAGATATCAAAAAATATGGCTATTTCATTGAAAACAGTGTTTCTCCTGTCGATCTTAGTTATTAACGTACAACAATTGGACTCAGCTAAATTACATATTCGAAATGAACCTGTTTCACCGTGTTGTCAGTCATCTTTTCTAATGAACCTGTTTTCATATTCACCTTGTGCTTGCCCTCCACCTCCAACTGCCTTACCTCCTCCGGTAAAAAAAGAGCCAGTCAAAGTTGAACACACTACACCCAATTATCCTGTATCGACAGTACCACCTAAAGAATACCATGTAAGTCCGTGTGGACCTCCTCAGTGTTATGTAGACCCAGCTAAACAAACTGCCGAACTTGCAAAGATTTTTAATGAAGGAAGTTCTAGAATTGTTCATTATACTTCCACTGCCACTGG